ACAAAACATTATGTACTTGCTATACACGCAAGTACACGACCCAATCGTAACAATAAATAAATAACTGGTAAATATCCTATCACGCATACATTCTGGACATTCTTTTGAAATTTAATTAGTTATTCACTGATTAATTAGGTCCAAACCGTCATACATAATAATACTTATTAAATTAACAGTGTAAATTTGTTGTGTTGTTGTGAAACAAGCCATTACATCATTTTAAATATAAAACAATGTGGATCAACATAATACCTATCACATATTATTATTGTCTCATGGATTTTCCTCCTAAATATATTTACCTAACTTTTGTGGTTCTACAAAACGTTATGTAGGTACTTGCTATAACAATAAGTAACAAATAGATATAAATAACTCCTAAATAGACTTAAAGAATCACAGTTTCGTATAGTTTCATAGTTTTGATTTCACAGTATATAATAATAAACTTAATAACTAATAGCACTTACAATATTATAGCCGATCTTAGAGTTAATATTTCCTGTACATTATTTCATACATTTCTTTGGCGGTTCAGCAAATTGTGTACACGCAACACAAACGTATCTCCATAAACCAACTCTCAGCTACTAACAGACCTTTGGCTCAGCAATTAATTTAAAATTCATTATATTTCTCAAGGTTCGTCTCACTCGGATCCCATGTTGTATCCGCTGTTTTTCCCGTACGGCGAGGACGGTTGGCATAACGAGATGTTGCAAGAGGGCCCTCGACGAAATAACGTCCGCAGTCGAAACTCTATAAGAGAGTTTGCGTGCTACCGCGTGGCCATTCGATACGAGGGAAATAACGACACGAGGCACCAACGGTTCAGTTCGATACTTCAGGGCCGGTCCTTGTTTCACCAGTTCCTGTGCGACCACTACGTTCAGATGGAAACCAACAATCTGAACTACATACGTGAGCATCAGGCAGAAATCTTTGCCGAAGCGTATCAAGGGTTGGTGGACCATGTGAACGAACGTCTCATCATCGATCCTATGGCGGTCGGCCGTAGGGTCATTTTACCGTCGACGTTCGTGGGCAGCGACCGATACAACAAGATGTGTTATCAAGACGCCATGGCCATGGTCCGCAGCAAAGGGAAGCCCGACCTGTTCATAACGTTTACGTGCAATCCAAGGTGGCCGGAGATCACGGAAAACCTGGCGGCTCACAGCCTCCCGAATGACAGGCCCGAACTGACGGCCAGGGTGTTCAACATGAAACTAAAGGAGCTACTAGGTGACCTAACTGTTAATCGTGTGTTTGGTGATGTCGCCGCTTACGTATATACTATTGAGTTTCAGAAACGCGGTCTGCCCCATGCGCACATACTGGTAATCCTGGAGGAGGATTGTAGGTTCCGCACGGCGGCAGACGTCGACGACGTGGTTTGCGCCTTCTTGCCGGACCCGGAGACAGACAGGCGCTTACACGACTGCGTGCGGTCCCACATGATACACGGACCGTGTGGAACAGTCAACCCGAGGTGTCCGTGCATGGTGAACGGCAAATGTTCGAAAGATTTCCCGAAGGCGTACGCAGAAGAGACTGTGTACGTTGCGGAAGGCGGTTATCCGAGGTACCGCCGACCGGACGACGGCCGGACGGTACTTGTGGGAAGACGTGATGCGGTCGGTAACGGGTGTGTAGTGCCTTACAACCCTTACCTTCTGGCCAAGTACGACGCTCACATCAACGTCGAGATATGCACGTCCATAAAAAGTGTCATGTATATCTACAAGTATATATACAAGGGACACGACCGTGGGACGTTGGAGATTGAGCAGAACGCAGATGAAACTACAAGGTGAGTCTTAACCTTACACTACACTTAGCGATATAAACATAAGATAATATAATAGTATACATGTCTGTTGTATAGTGATAACTGATAATCATGGTATATTGTATACGTTTATTTTGTGTGTTCAGCGTGTATGAATTATTTACTACTTTTTAGGGCAGTTGTATACATTCACCAATACCTCATATTATATATTATATTATATCATGTGGCTTGGTGCAAGAAGGGCCAATGTCATGTTTTGACAGTGTTCAGGAATTCAATCTTAAATTTTATTTCGGAACTCTAAACATTATATTTGTTTTTATTTCATTGTATGACTCTCATTTTGTTTTCAAATATAAATAATAAAATTACATTGTTTTTGACATTGGCCAAAAATTTAAATTTAAAATAAACACTTGTGAAAACATTTCTACATTTTAATAATAATATTCCATTGAGCATAATGTTGGTAATTTTCTACATTTATAAACTTTATCTAATTTGGTCCTACAGCGTTAGAGACATTGGCCCTTTTTTTTTGTAACACAACTAACATAAGCAAATTTTAACGACATTGACCCATCTTGCACCAAGCCACGGAATTATTTTATGTGTTGGTCATTATTTTTATTACATTTAATGCGTTATTTCGTTCAAGCTGTGTATAATAAACACAATAAACATTCTATTGCATACAGTACTATAAATAAAAATATATAATTTATACATGTGTATGGTATAACGATTGTTTTGGTGGATTTTATACATTTATTTAGTGTGTTCGGTGTGTATGAATTATTTACTACTTCATAGGGCAGTTGTATACATTCACCATTACCTTTAAGTTCTATACTTCAATATATATTATATTTATGTGTTGTTTAGGTATTATTATATTATGTACTTCTACAGAGAGTTCTATAGGTGGTCTACATTAGTACACAGTGGTACCTACATGCTATTGATAGATTTTAAATTGAAAATTATTACAATATTTTATGCATGTGTCATTCTTAGCAGTGTGTCCAGTGTTTTTTAGGTTTTTAGGGTAGTGGTAAGCCTTTTATTTTTTTTTTACTTTTGTATACTATATATTATATACTTTACGTTTAATGTGTTGTTTAGGTATTATTATTATTATTTTTTTATTATATTCATTATTATTTTTTCATCTAATTCATTCAAGCGGAATAACGCACGTTTGTTTATGGATTGTTATTTTCATTGACATAAATTAATATTTCCTATACCTTTGCCATTCTTATATAATATTATTCGGTGATTTATACGCAGTCACACAGATAATGTATTCTAGCTGATACAAGTTTTTTAGTTTCACTTTACATTTGATGCGTTATTTTCACAGTGCAAAATATAAATTGAATTAAATACCTCAATTATATGATAATAATTCCAACTCTGTGCATAATTTCAATTGTAACTTATATTAATTAATATTAATATTTAGTTACTCAAGACGTTTGTGTCTTACGCGTGCGCTACTACAACATTTATTTATCAAAACATATCATAATATAATATCGGTCACATTTATTGTATGCCAAACTTTACAAAATTTACAATTTAACGGTTGTAGGGATTCTTCATAATGTCCATTATATTTTTCAATGTTAAAGTAAAGAGCTGTAAGTGTTCATGCAATATTCAAAAATTAGTTCTTAGTATGGTTAAACGTTTCAAAATACTTCAAAATAAATTAAAATTATTAAACATTGTAATATATTATTATATTGCAATGCAATGCTATGCGTCTACAAAATAAAAAATAAATAAATTATCATAATAATACAACACCAAACGGTATCATCTTATATTGAGCCAGCCAATATATTGTTACTAATCTTTTCAATATTCCTTTTTAGGTACGTCAACTCGAGGTACGTCAGCCCGCCAGAAGCCGTCTGGCGATTGTATTCGTACAAACTGCACGACAAAAGTCACACGGTCTTCAGGCTTCCCGTTCACCTGGAGGGTCGTCACAACGTGTATTTTCCGCCGGGCCAAGAAGAATTACGGCTACAGAACGAAGCTGTTGGTCGCACGAAACTCACGCAGTTCTTCGCGCTGAACGCGACCAACGTGGTGGCTCGACAATACTTGTACCACGACATACCGATGCATTACACCTGGCAGCAAAATGTCAAACAATGGCGTCCGCGGGTGAATCGGATGACAAACGTTACATTGGCTCGGATGTACGTGGTGAACCCAATGGACCGTGACCGTTTCCACTTGAGATTGCTACTTCTGAACCGAAGAGGCCCGCAGTCCTTTCAAGACATAAGGACGGTGGACGGGGTCGTTCACGGAACATACACGGCGGCTGCGATTGCACTCGGACTATTGGAAGACGACCTAGCGTGGCGGAATTGTTTGGATGAATCCGCGTTGGTGGACACGCCGCGGCAACTGCGGTATCTCTTCGTCACTATACTGGTGTTCTGCCTGCCTTCAGACCCGCTGGCGTTGTACGAGAGGAACGAAGCGAACCTGATGGAGGACTTCAACCGGCGTCTCCAAGACGTCGACCGCGCGAGGGCCGCGTGTCTGGCAGCCATCGAGGATCTACTTCGTGGGCACGGAAAGTCACCAGCGGTCGACTACGGTTTGCCCCTCGCCGACCCCCTACTACTGGAACCGCTGCAGGACGACAACGCGCTGTTCCGAGAAATAGACGCGGCGGCACGGTGGGCCCAACAAGTGGAAAACTTGAACGCCGAACAGCGAACGGTGTACGACCGCGTGATGGCGGCCGTCGAAGACCCAGGCGAGGTGCCGCGAACATTCTTCGTCGACGGACCCGGGGGTACGGGAAAAACTACGCTGTACGGATGCCTGATATGGTCGCTTCGGCAGCTTCGGCGGGAGGTGTTGAGCGTCGCTCATGGACGGCGGCATGACGGTGCACTCGACGTTCGGACTGCCGTTCGGCACGCTCACCGAAGACTCGACGTCCACCATCACCATGCAGTCCGCGCGAGCGCAGAGGATACGCAACGCGGCTCTCATCGTCTGGGACGAAGCCCCCATGTCGCCGGGACTGCAACTGACGCTGGTGGACCGCCTGCTCAAGGACGTCATGGTTTCGAATTTACCGTTCGGCGGTAAAACCATGCTGTTCGCCGGCGACTTCAGGCAGATATTGCCCGTGATCCGGAGAGGGACGAGAGCCGAGATCGTCATGTCGTCGATCAAGAACAACCATCTCTGGAACGTCATGGAGCGCTTCGATCTGGTCCAGAACATGCGCGCGGGCAACGACGCGGACTTTGCGTCTTGGTTGCTTCAGCTCGGCAACGGCCAACTGCCCGCGGTCGACGGCGTTCCGGACACGGTGGAAATCCCGCAGGAAATGGTATGCGACGTTGCCGATTTAATCGATTTCGTGTATCCGCAGCAAATGTCGTTGGCCAACGTCGAAGAATTTGCTCGGAGAGTCGTCGTGTGTCCCACCAACGAAGAGTGCACACATAGAAATCTGCGGTAGATTCAATACAAAATGGTGTTAATATTATACACATTTGCACGTTATTTTCCAGCTTAGACGAATTTGGTGTTGATACAACACTTACATGTCACTTAAACGGCAAGTGTAGAATAAACACTTAATTAATTTGTATTGAGCGTAGTATATGGTTAAAATGACAACAACCCATATGCTAAAATAAAGTATTATGACAGTCACATTAACTTCGAAAAAATTAGTAGCTACTATAGCTACTTGTAGAAACAACAACTATTCATTGTTAAAAATAGTTCATTAAGTGCAAATTTAATATTTGAAGATTGTTGTAGAAATAACACTAGTTAATAGTTATGTAATTTGTATCAACAAAAGCTAAATTAACTTTTGAATTTATTATCTATTTGTTGAAATTACAACAAATTGTTGTTAAATCAAAGCCACCATTGGTGTAATCTCAATATAATTATAATTATAATTATAATTAATTAATCAGTGCACATATTATTATATATAATAATATGTGCACTGATAGGTATATCTTATAGGGAAAAAAGGATTTGGTCCATTCAACGGGCATACAGTATATAATATTTTACATATTACATATTCTAGTATATTTTATATTCATAATATGAATACTTGCACTTTTGACAACACAAATCAAGCCATAAATAAAAAATTAACAGTTTGCTTTATTTAATATAAATATTTAAGTACATATCTAAGTAACATATACAAATATACAATGTTAATAGGTAAATATTTTAAAATTAACATTTTATTCATACAATATTAATGTAGGTAAGTAGTTGTAAGCCTGTTAAAAATATAATATAATAAAACATGATGAACAAATAGATACCTACCTAAAAAAACTAGTTTGCAACCTTAAAGCAACCTACCTTGTTGCATAGATAACAATAATCATAAATAATTATTTACAACGCATATCTTAAACTAGCATACAATTTACCATTTCCAAGAACACGGAGAGTAGTTGGGGTAGAGTCTTTTAAATCTTTTAAATAACAACCAATAAGGTTAGATTCTCTTTCATTATATTTTTCAATTTCATAAGCATGAAAATGTCTATCGAAACCCACTGTTAAAAATAGTTTACACACTAAATATGGCATTCTTGACTTGTTAACAAGTATATAAAGTATCTCACCAAAAATACAACCATTTAAATCAATATCAATTATTGATAACATTCCAGGTTTATACTGAACTCCTTTAAAATTGACCCAAGGAACTGAAAATGTATCACTTTTAAATTCATTAGGTAATGAACTAAAAAAATTGATATTGAAATCTTCAGAAGTAATCATTTTTAAACATGACCCCACTTTTAAATCTAGTTCCAGCCCTTTTTGAATTAGAAAACGATGAATCATCTGTACTTGTAGTTTGTGTGATAATGTATGTCCTAGATTTATTCTACATGGTATGGAGTTGGCATATGCCTTTAAAACTTTGTGTTTTGCTTCATATCTTAATGAGGAAGTAAGTGAAATAGGGCCATTTTTAAGAAGTAAGCGACCATAATGTGTTAAGAAATGAAATTTAGGTTTAAGGGAGCTGTTAGAAAAATATAAATACAATTTATTATGTTCAGAAACTAATGAGTCTAATTGAAATGCACATTCACGTTGTAAAACTCGAGCACAGCAAATATCAACTATCTTTCTCAGGCTAATATATAACTCCCAGATTTTAGTGCCTAATGGGACCAATTCACCAACAATTAGCCCAAAATATCGTACTAAACATAACATTTCGGAGGCTGACATGATTATACAATTATTATTAAGATTAGTCTTACTAATTGTTGGTGGTTTATTTTTGGACTCAGTAACTCCATACTCAAATAACATTAATCGATTATTTAAATTTTCAAGTGAAAAGTATTTATTATTTATTAAGTAATTGATTATAAGAGCCATATCATATCGTGCGACTCCTTCAGATACATCATGCATAAAGTCACACACCATGTTGTCCGTAACATGATAGTTAGGAATTTCATTGAAAACACAATATGAATTTATACCAGTCTCTGAAACATTATTTTTTTGCACATCTGATTCATAATTTTCTTTATTTCTAATTGAATTAACGGATTCTATAAGCATGTTTTGCATTTGACTTTTAGGACAACAACATATACGACAATAGTAGTTTGCAGAGAAACTTTCAACAAAGCCTAATACAGAATTAAGGCCTAAATTGTCTCCTAAAATTAATGCAAGAGCAAAATGTATAGTAATATTAGTTGAATTAACACAAATAGAAATTCCATTTTCTTGCAAGTCTATAAGTTCTGTTATAAGAGAAGAAAATAAGGTTTTATTATTAATTTTTTGTTCTCCTCGATCTGTCGAATGAAAAAGAAATGCTGGAAAAATATTTTCTAAGGCAGACAAGTATTCGGGAGGTATGGCTGGAATAGTATAATACACACATCCCATTTTGTGAACACCTGAATGTGAACCAAGTGGATTCCCCATCTCAGCATCATCAAAATATAAAAAAATTGGGTAAACTATTTTATTTTGAAAGTTTTTTTTAATATTTTTCCAAGTGGTTCCATCTATAAATGATGATAATAAATCAGAATTTTCTGAATATGAAATAAACTCATTAGCTGCATTATACACGCCAGGTAATTCAAAAAATCTTTTTAGATTATTTTTAATAGGAAATAAATGGCCTTGAACCTGTTCCATAATTTGGCGCTCAACCCCAGACACAATTTTTTGCTGATTTACAAACCCAATAACAACTGTTTTTGGTTTAGAAAATAAATTATTTGTTTCAAAATACTTAAAACGCTTATACTCAGTCCTAAATTTTGAAAATGGATTTTCTAAGACAGTAAGAATTTTTTCAATTTCAGCTATTTCAGTTTTATTAGAATTAAATAAATGAGGCATTATTTTAGTTTTTAAATTGGATATGATCCCAGATGAGAACAGTTCTGTTGCCCCGTCAACTATTTCTTGCATCAGAGATTCAGTAACATTAGGGTTTGTGTATAATTTTGTTATGAATTGTAATGCACAATTACTCACAATATCTTCAAAAGATCTATTAAAATAGTTAACTTCATTTGTACCTATGATATCATCACTGTGTAAACTACCATCATTAGTATTTACAACTTCTTCAGGCAAATTTAAGACAGGAGTAATATCATCAGAAATAGGAATATCTGAAGCATTATTAAAAGAAAATTGATGTATTACGTCAGGTATTGAATGAACTCTTTTTAAATGTTGTCTAAATTTTTCTGAACCATCAAAGTCCCTAATACAGCCTTCTTGATTACATTTGTACATGGAGGTTTTCGTCAGATTATGATAAATTTGAAAATGTAACATAAGTTGGTTAATAGAATATGATACTGAAGAGCATATGAAACAAATAAACATTTTTATAATTTTATTTATTGATGCTTAGGTAATTAATAATTTTTAAATAACAGCTTTAACTTTAAATAAAAACTTAGGTAATTAATAATATTTAAATAGCATCTTTATATTTAAACAATAACTTAAGGTTGAAACTATAGGGTTTAATAATTTTGAGAAACATCAAATATAGTAAAGTACTAAATATACTTAAATGAATGAATTGAATTATATATTTATATAGGTACTTCAAATGATTGCATTTTGGCAGATACTGTAGTTGTGATAGAAGTTTGTTTATCATACTCTGTATTCAACTTAAATAAATGCTTTTGTATAATCAGCCATGAATCATAACATTCTTTAGGATAAATACAATGGAAGACGAAATATGATTTGAAACAAACCTCTAGAGTTTTTAAAGGACACTCAAAATGCCAAAATTTTTGGTTTACACGGACATAACATGTATGTATGGATTGAATATCTTCACCGACAAAGGTCATAAATGGTTGAATTGACGATCCATATTGCGAGTACCTGTCTTGCCTTTGTGTCAAATCCTCTTGAAATTTTACCATGTTCTGAAAAAAAATTTTCATTACCTATTATAATTGCCTAATTTTTAATATACCTAGAACACCAGGCTAAAATTGTATTTTAAACTTACAGTCACATGTATAGCAAACGCAGAGACTGATTCGGATAATGATGGCTTCCAAAATTTGGAGTTTGCTTTAGAGTTACTATTTTTTATTTGTGTTTTGGTAGGTACAAGGAATGGTAGCAGTAGTATTTTAATTATATTTGAAGTTCTTGAATCTGAAAACAATTAACAAAAATTAATCTGATTTAGTTGTTAGCATTAATCATTTAAGTATAGTTTACTTAAATTATTGGTGAAAAATAAAATAAAATATTTTAATATTTTCAAAAAGTTTCTCAGATGCTTTCCCTGTTATATTCTATGATTACTGTGAAATCAGTCCTAAGTTATTGTCTACTTGCTTTGAAATAATAAATTCCTTTTTTTTTATGAACACTAATTCTTTTGTATTAGGTGTTTTATTTTATTTTTCTCAAAGGTGCATATTATAATTTATTATATTTTATACCTATACATATAAGTTGAACATACCATTTATTTATAATATTATTATTTTAATTTTATTCCCTTATGTTACATTATTGTAATTTATTTTTTGTCAAGAAAATCAAATTCATAGTGTTAATTGTTAAAATAAACTAACAAAATGCTCCACTTTTAAAAACGAGGTAACAACAGTTTTTCTAAATATTGTTCCTTTAATTACCTACCTAAGAGTAATATAATGTTAATAAAAATGTAATATTCATTGTAGGGTTAATATGAATATTAGGTAATTTAAGTGGAAAAATAAATTAACTTTAAATAACTCACCTCCATCTAGGCATGCAGTGTCTAATTTACTTAGTAGAGCCTGAGCATGTTTATCCTTAACTGAGCTTCTTCGAATATTAATTAAGCGTTTTGAAAATGTTTCCCATGCATTTAAAAAGTCATTCCATTCTGAATACAAGGAATGAGTTTCAGGAAATGCAATTTTGAAATCTTCAACAATCTAATGAAATGGTTATTAATTATTACTTATTATATAAAAATCAATTAAAAACAAATAAAATTAAAAAAATCTTACTAGCTCATATCCTTTTGGTCCTTGTAAAATTGGCCAAGTCAAAAAAATATTTGATAAAAAACGGTCTTGTGAATCTAAATTTTCTTTTCTTCTTATCTCATAAGTTAGGGCCCAGTTTTGTTTAACTAATTGAAAATCAGCATTGAGTCCATCAGTCTCTAGCCATTTTTTTGCAGTACGAACTTCATCTGTAAACATACATTATAATAATATTATACTTCATGACGAAAATCGGCAATGCAGATCTCACCGTATTTATTATTTTTGTTTTTTTTTTGTCAAAATGAATAAATAATTTTGTACCTTATTTAACATTATTATTATTTGTATCATTATGTCTACTAGAATATGTTACTTAAGTAGGTATTTGTATTCAAAGGGAACTGTACGTTAATTGTAAATAAATCTTTAAATTTAATTAACTTACCAGATATAATAATGGGGGAACTGCTAGTCACTATTTCTTTTTTATTATATCTTTCAAACTTAATAGCTCCAATAGATCTTAATCGCCGGGCAACATTCTTCCATCGCTCAATAAGCTTTCCTTTAGCGTGTGTTTGTTGATGCCCTTCCGATTTAGCTGGTATGAAATATATGCTCTAAAATAATATAAGTTATTACTAATTTACCTTACTACAGATGTAAATTATTATGCATTTTTAATTTAATCATACCTACCTTTTGTTCTTTAGGAAAAATTTCAACGATTAAATCTGCAATTTTTCTAAAGAAAAAATCTGTGCCTCTGAAATAATTAATAATATTAATAATGTATACAAATATATGCATCAATTAAACAAATGAAATAAACATTAAAAAATACATTTTACACTAAAATTATGACTGTACTTGCTATTATCCTGAAAAAGATGATTGATTAGTAGTTGAGTAAGTAAATTCTGTGAGTCATCAGAAAGAAATCCATCATTTTGTTTATAGTCAGCTAAAATGTACCTTCCATCATTAGTGGTATGCAAAAGATGTAACATAGTCTAAAGAACATAAGTATTATTGTATGAACTACCTATAGGCTATAATGATTATTAAAAAACAAAAATTGAAATTCATAATTTTACTTCTGTTGTCCAATCCATTGGACTATAAGACCCAAACTTGGGATGCATACTTTTTGGATTCACATATGGAGAAAAATTAGCTATTGCCTGTTGCTGTTGTGCCAAAGTTATTTCCTGGTTATTTGGAATAGAATTATAAAATTCGTTGATAGTTGGTTGTAGTGAATTCACGTTATCCTCAGTTAATGAATCAAAGGGAAACTGATAAAAATATAAAATACATTCCTAATTATTTTTTAAGCATATATGACCATTCATTTTGTTACCTACTTTGAAAACATCTCTTTCACTTACCATGAAGAAACAACATTTTTTTGACTTTTTAGTCATATGAAGTATAAGATGCAATTTAGTTACAAACTGCTGAACTATGTAGGTTGTAGGTAGGTACCTACCTACTTAGACTTTAGAGTAATCTTTTAAGACATTTGTTTGTAGTTAAAACTACAATGACTATTAATTGTTAGAGATATTTTTGATATACCTACCTATATAGTGTTAATTATAATTCTAAGCTATAACTCATATTGAATAAAAGAATTAATGCTAAATATTAATTAATTCATTATTTATTTTGAAACTTGAAATATTCTTATGGTTAGATTAAGAATACCTATGAGATTCATGGGTAAACTAATTAGTAATTATATATTTTAAGGTAAGAATTTCCAAAAAGAAAAGGTGGTAAAAATTAATTTTCAAAACCAAGTAGTAGTTATTGGTTAACATACTTGTAAAGTTTTCAAATTTTAAATTATATAAGTATTAAAAACAATGTAGATAATACTGGCTTTATAGATACAAATTATATTATTAATAATATAGTATTATACATACCTGATATTGGTCCATCTTCTTCAATCACTATTTACACATAACACAACTTTGCTTAGGGCTTAGGTGTATCTACTACTTAAAATCGCCAAAATAACAAAAATTATTTTTTTGATTAACTCCAATCAAAATATTACTATAATGAACATGATAGGTATATCAACAACCGACGAATAACATATTTCGAGGTGGCGGTGGTAGAGAAACATTGGGATTCCCGTGTAGATATATAATAAAAATAGAAATTAAATATTTTTAACTGGTGTTATAATAACACTATTTTTCTTAAATTAACACCAATGGGCAGTTGACTTAGGGAATGGTAATGTGACTTAAAACAACATTATACAAATGTTGTCAAAGCTATACCTAGTAATTGCTGGAACAAGTACATGCTGTAGTTCAATTAATTTATCTAGTTTCAAATTAAGTTTTTACTATGGTTTAAATAGCATTTTTTGTTATAGTTAACATTTATCGTTGAATATACAATTAAATAGTGTTAAAATAAGAATAAAATATCTATAAGTCAACATTTTTACCCTCTACATCGATATTGGCGTTAAATCAAATCCAATATTTCTATGTGTGTGCAGAGGTGTCAACGCGGACGTGCTGGAGCGCTTCGACGGCAATTCGGAGACCTACCAGGCCGTCGACACCGCGGAGGTGGACGCGGCCGACGAAGTTGCCAATTTCCCCACAGAGTTCCTCAACACTTTGGTACCGGACGGCCTGCCGCCGTTCCGGCTCGAGTTGAAGGTGGGGTGCATCGTCATGTTGCTCAGAAATCTCGATCCGAGGAGACGACTGTGCAACGGTACGAGGTTGGTGGTCACCGAACTGCGACGACACAATTTCAAGGCGAGGATTTTGGGCGGTGACCCACGGGACGACGACATCGTCCTGCCCAAGATACCGCTCAGGTCCAGCGGTGAGGACGACCTGCCCATCCCACTGAAGCGCATTCAATTCCCGGTGAGGTTGTCGTTCGCCATGACCATCAACAAGTCGCAGGGTCAGACGTTCGACAGGGTAGGTTTGCTTCTGACGACGCCCCCGTTCACTCACGGGCAGCTGTACGTGGCGTTTTCGAGGGTGAGAAACGCACAGTCCGTGAAAGTCGGCATGTACGCCGATGACAGCGGGCGATTCGTCACCAAGAACATCGTGTACAGGGAAGTTCTGTAATGCAATAAGTGGTAAGTATATTCTAGGTGACGTCCGACGATCGAGTCTAGATGATGGTGATAGTCTGGTTGACTTTAAACCTGACATGTGTAACATATTTTTCAAACACAATACGTTACACCGCTGTTATACTGGTCTGTGTACTACATGCGCCCGATGATAGTCTGGTTGACTTTAAACCTAACATGTGTAACGTATTTTTCAAACACAATACGTTACACCGCTGTTATACTGGTCTGTGTACTACATGCGCCCGATGATAGTCTGGTTGACTTTAAACCCAACATGTGTAACAGTTTTTTTTAAACCTAATACGTTTTTCAAACTTAATAAGTTATACCGCTGTTGATAGTCTGGTTGACTTTAAACCAACATGTGTAACAGTTTTTTTTAAACCTAATACGTTTTTCAAACTTAATACGTTACACCGCTGTTCTACGTGGTCTGTGTGGAGGTGACTTCGTGATGACCTTGCCTTCGGGCTAAACGGAGAGAAAGTTTGACAACCTCCTCGTGGTTCTCTCTGGATGCGGATTCACTATAATGTGAAGCCGTAACTAATGTCAAACAATGTATGTAATGTCTGTGTTATTTGTATAGATAGTACAGATAGTGCAGACAATTTATTTAATTTGAATGTTGTATTTTATTTGTAATGGAACATTAATTTAAGATTCTAATGTACCTAAATTATATGATGTAAATAACATTAATAAGTCAATTTCACTATGTTTGTTGTAAATTAATGGAAAATGTATTAATTACATTAATTGTTTTATTCACTAAAAGAGTATTAGATTGTACACTGTAAATTGTATTACTATTATATTACTACTGTTTGTATATAAATATATAATATATTGTATTTTTACAATATTTAGATAATTGACATTTTACTAAGAGTTGTATTTCTTTCTTCTTGGTTTTAACATTAATAAGCAATTTTACTATGTTCATAATATGTATATTCTTTTTGTATACTAAATCACTGTGAACCGCTGTTAATTAATGAAGACTGTATTAATGGTTGAAAACTTACTTTATTTTATTTGTATTGTGTTTATTAATATGTAAATTTCACTGTACCTACTCACGATATTCCTAATATTTTGTACACTTTGTATCGCTGAACTACTTGATTAATTTATATTGTATTAATGGTTGAGAGATCGTTTAGATTACTAAATACATATAATTATTATTGTATATTATAATAATCGACATATTTGTATTAATTGTTTTACTCACTATTCCCTAATAGAGTATAAGTTTTTTGTTAAACACCATTTTCTTCTTCGTTTTATCTAATTGTTTTATTCTAATTATATTATAAATGTAATTATTACAATATTTATATAATTGACATTGTAGTAATTGTTTTGTTCAGTAAAAGTAATGTTTTTTTGTTAAACACCATTTAATAGTTGTATTTTAGATTATTACTACTGATGTGTATATAAATTGTAATTCATTAAATTTAATTATATTTACATTGACAATATTTGTTTTGTGTCTTTGTGCCACTGAAGAGTGCCATTGGTTCTTAATTAAGTGAATATCATAAGAATAAATAATTTGTAAAAACATACAATTGATTTTAACGACATAATCATGGTGCATTTGTTCAATGACGATTTATTAAAATTCACACACATTTCTTGGGTCAGGGAATGGATCCCCTCAAAAAGAGTAAATTACTCAACGTTTAAATTAAATACTTTGTTTTGACAACAAATGCTGTAAGCACAACATTTAACCGTAATAGTAGGAATAACTAATAACGATTTAAAAAGCCATTCATACAGTGCATATCTTAATAACAATGCGTAGATAGGTACTAGGTGTATAAATGATAAGATACTGCATATTATTATGTTATTTAAATTTTTATGGCAGTGTTCGAACGGCTGTTGTAGATATTTTTTGTATAAACACCATTTAATAGCTGTGTTCCTTTCTTTTTCGTTTTATATCTAATCTAACTAATCTAATAGGTAATACATTGTAATGTGTAATACAACATTTTGTTAGTTGCGAATTGCTATTGATTAATTTTTACTGTTTCACATAATATTATGACACCATTGATGACACTATTTTATTATCTAACAATTGTAATATTATGTAGTGTGTTACTACATACTACGTCACCGTGAATGGATATAATTTCTTTTGTCACTTTGTGGTCATTGCTGTGAATAATAGTAACTCTCAGATGAGACGGAAACACATATATTATTTACTTTTTTATGTCAAAATTTTTCAAGTACCATTCAATATTATAGTGACTATTATAGTAGACTGCTAATTTATTTATTTTAGTGGAGTAATGCCACTGTACAAATTGCTGTTAACTATTTTTAATACTTATTATAATATCATAGGTATTCTTATGTAAAAAAGTTAAAACAATATTTAATAGTTGTGTAATTTATTTTATATTATAAGTCAATATTTTTACAATAATTGATGTTGTATTTGTTTTACTCATTGTAGACTATTAATTCTAAAATCTTTTAATGACGTCGTATTTATTTATTTGTTACATACTTTAGACATAATTCTATGCAACACCTACCTAGGTCATTAATTTCACTGAGATCCTTAGAACCCTTATAACTATTATCTTATTTGATCCACATACCACACATATAATTTATTGTGTTACAATAGTATGAACAATATGTATTGGTAACTTATAGAAATTTAAAAAATCTTTCATACCGTACGCTCAGTACACACATAGTAATTTCAAAATATACAGTTGGAAAGGAAAAGGAAAAGAAAATATAATTGTAAATGAAATAGTCATGTTTTTTATCTAATTATTTTATTGATCATCTGAAAAAAAACATAACGAATAAACGTAGAAAATTGTTTGTTGAGAAAAAAATGTTCCTGTTAAAAACTTACATCGATTTTGCGATTCTGCTCTCGGCACCTGAAAATAATATGTTTGATTAGAATTATTAATTTCAAAAACTAAAGTATTTATATTTATATTGCATCCTTACATCTCACTGCCCCGGCGGTGTAGGAGGCATCACTGATTTCCTGAAAATGATGTGTTTAATTAGAATTATCAATATCAAACACTTAAATATTATATAAATATATCCTTACGACATTTGGCGGCGGCGTCTCACAGGCGGTGACGTACAGCTGCTCTTGAAAATAATTTGTTTAATTAGATTTATCAATTTATTTTTTTAAATTTTTTACTAATATATCTTTAAAGTGCATAGTAGCATACTAATATATTATACTTACAT